AGTAGAGGAAGGGTGAAAGAGGGGTGAAGGGAAGTTGGACAGTTGGTACCAAAGCAGTCAGGTAGAGTTCACAAGTTCTGCTATTCCATAGCACAGAATGATGACTATCATTTACAATAATGGATCATCATCTGTATAAGAAACTGGGAGAGAGGATCTAATAGGCACCAAACACTAGATAATAAAATAGAAACACTATCTGCTTAATTTGATTAGTTCACATTCAATGTATTGTGTTGAGATAGCCACACAATAAAAATGTGCAAGCACTGTATGTTATTAAATTTTTTTAAGTTATTTAGTTAGTTAATTATTTAGTTATATTAGAAAGATTTATGGAGAGAGACAAAAAGATCTTCCATCTCCTGGTTCACTCCCCTAGTAGCTGTAATGACCGGAGCTGAGCTGATCTGAAGCCAGGAGCCAAAGCCTCTTCCAGGTCTCCCATGGGTACAGGTTCCCAAGACTTGGGGCCATCCCTGACTGTTTTCCCAGGCCGCAAGCAGGGAGCTGGATAGGAAGTGGAGCAGCTATTGCCCATATGGAATCCTAGCACATGAAGGCAATGGCTTTAGCTATTAGGCTACTGCACCAGGCCCCAAGGTGTTTCTAATTTTTTTTGTTTTAAATTTGTGAGAGGTGGGCATTGTGGCAGAGTGGGTTAACCATCACTGGAGAAACCACGTTCCACATTGAAGTGTGTAAGTTTGAATCCTGCCTCAACTTCCAATCTAACCTTCTGCTAATGTGCCTCAGAGTCAGCTGGTAATAACTTAAATACTTCTATCTCTCTTGTCCACATGGGAGACTGAGATGTAGTTCCAGGTTCCTGTATCAGCCTTTAGGAAGTAAAATAATGGACAGTAGGCCTCTCCCCCTCTCATTCTCTCCCCCAGCCACATCTTCCTCTCCTTCCCTCCCTCACACCCTCTCTGTCTTTCAAACAAATAAACCAAATTGAAAAATATATTCTATAGCTGAAAACCACAAGCATAAAAAATACCCAACAATTATTTAAAGGCAGATTTGAGCTTGCAAAAGAATAAGCATACAGGATGATAGAACAATGAAAAGTATTATAGAAGCTGAGCAACAGAAAGAAAAAATGACTGCAAAAATAGTGAAAATAAGGGATCTGAGGGAAACAGCTGGACCAACATGCAACACAGCTTCTAAACATCAGTGTGAGATGCAACTGAAAGGCAATGCACACCTTGCATAGAGTCATTGTGGGAGGGAACACTTGAGGAAAGAGATAGGAAAAGTGCTATCTGCAAAACAATGGCCTGATACCTCCCAAATTTGATGAGATACGAATAAAAAAGTCAATCGTATTCAACAACCACCAAAGACAAAGGCAAAGACATTCTTGGAAGCAGTGAAAGAGAAAAGCAAGTCATTGTATTCAAATTATCCTTGCGAAGGTTATCAATTGATTTCTCCTCCAAAACTTTGGAGACCAGAGAGCAGCAGGTGGATTTATTCACAATGCTTCAAAACAAAACAAAAAGAAAAATATTAAGCAAGAATCTTACACATACACAGACACACACACATACGCACACACCATTGGAAAGTCAGATTTCTGGGGATAAAGATCTTCCATCTGCTGGTTCACTGCCCAAATAGCTGCAACAGCCAGAGTTGAGCCAATCCAAAGCCAGGAGCCAGGAACTTCTCATGAGTCTCCCATACAGATGTAGGGTTCCAACATCTTGCACCATTCTCCACCACCTTCCCAGCCATAAGCTGGGAGCTGGATTGGAAGCAGAGCATCCAGGACACAAACTAGCATTCAATGGGATACTAGTGCTTGCAGGTGCAGCATTAGCCATTAGAGCCATGGTACTGGCCCCAAGCAAGAATCTTATATTTGTAAAACTGTCCTCAAAAGTGCAGGAGAAATGAAAACATCCCACATATGTTACCAATAGATCTGCTCCTGCAAGAATTGCTAATAAGATTACTACAGTTCAACATAAATAGACATTAGACAGTAATGCAAAGGCATATGAAGAAATGAATTCTCTGTAGAAGAAAATATAACTGCAGTTATAATAAAGTCTGGGGTTACTATAATTGTATTTTATAACTTTTCTGCATAATTTAAGGAATAAATTTTTAAAAATATTTAACTTTTGGTTTTAAATACACAAAGATGTAATTTTCTGACATGAAACAATTGAAAGGAATAGTTGATAGAGATGTAAAGGACCACAGTTTCCCTGTTATTAAAGTTCAGATAACATAAATTCAAACTAGGTGTCATAGCTTTAGGATATTAAATATAATCCCCATGGTAACCACAAAGAACATTGCTGTAATCACAAAGGAAGTGAGTTACTTAAACATTTTAACTATACAAAAGCATCAACACAAGCAAAATAGTTAAACAGGAAAGGAAGAACAAAAGACCTATAGAAAACAAATAACAAAATGACAAAAGTAATCTCTTTGCTCTTAGGCAACCTTAGGAAGGAAATGTTCACATGCACTACAACATGGACAGACCTTGAAGGTATTATGCTGCGTGAAACAAGCCACTCATACCAAATACTATATTATTCCATTGATATGAGGCAGTCAAAAAATCACTGAGGGAGCCCAGCGGTGTGGCCTAGCGGCTAAAGTCCTCACCTTCAACGCGCCACCAGGATCCCATATGGTCGCCGGTTCTAATCCCGGCAGCTCCACTTCCCATCCAGCTCCCTGCCTGTGGCCTGGGACAGCAGTCGAGGACAGCCCAAAGCTTTGGGACCCTGCACCTGTGTGGGATATCCGAAAGAAGTTCCTGGATCCTGGCTTTGGATCGGCATAGCATCGGCCGTTGCGCTCACTTGGGGAGTGAATCATCGGATGGAAGATCTTCCTCTCTGTCTCTCCTCCTCTCTGTATATCTGACTTTCCAATAAATAAATAAATCTTTAAAAAAAAAAAATCACTGAGGCAGAGCATACAACAGTAGCTGCCGGGGACCAGTTAGTATTTAATTGATGAACAGCTTTCAGTTGTATAGATGAGGTGGAGAAGGTAATAGTTGCAATATAGTATGAATGTAATTAATGCCACTGAATTGCACGCCTAGTAGTGGTTAACATAGTGAATTGTGGGGCTTATCAGATTAGGCCACCATCTGTGGTGCCAACATCTCAGTTACCTGCTAATGTGCCTGGAAAACCAGTGGAGGATTAACCTGCACCCACAAGGAAGACCAGAAAGAAGCTCTTGGCTTTTGGCTTTGGCTGGCCCAGTCTCAGCCATTGCCATTTGGGGAGTGGGTCAGTGGATGAAGGACCCCTCTCCATCTGTAGCTCTCCCTTTCAAATAAATCCCCCCCTAAAAAAGTGGTAATTGAGTGAAAGTGTTGCTCTGCTTTTAAACAATTTAATGATTCCTACTTCATCTATGTTTCTTATATTTGAAAGACAGTCTTTGCTTACAACTGTACAAAAAGAAAGGTTTTAAGAATACATAGTTAAAACCCCCAAGAAATCAACTTTATAATCTGAGTAAAATCCGACTAATTTTCTATTTACTGCTTCAACTTTCCTGTGTTTTGACTTGTTAAGCTGGGAAACATGAGTTTTGGGAAGACAAATTACTCTGTATTTTCTATTTTCACTAACAACTAATGAAATTTTAGTATTTCTTTCAATAAGAATACTGACATCCAAGCACAGTGGCATTAAAAATTGTTGACTGTGTCATCAAAGGAAATCATATATCTGTCACGGTTATGATAGATAGAGATATCTTAAATTATTACTTCTCATCTCTTCAAAATGACGGTTAACTACAAATATACTTGTGGGGTTTTTTTTTTAGGAAGCAGGTAGTTTCTTAAGAATCTAATATTTAAAAATTGATTTAATACAAAACAATGAAATTTAAATTTCTTGTAATGCCCCAGTAAAATGAAGTTTCCCTAGTTCTTTTCTTCTTGGTGTTAGCGAATCTGGATGTATAATTCAGGAATATTATTAGCCATGTTAAATGGGAGCAGTTTAGACTAAGCTACTTAACTACAGTTTGCAGAGATTCTGTTTTCTCTGCACAGAGCTTATAGAGACTTTTCTTAAACTTAGAAAATAAGCAACTTTAAAAGCAAAATAGAAATGTCACTTTTATTTTTTATTAAGAATTTAAATATATTACATTTGTGAAGATATCAGGTAACTGAATACTCAATTTTTTTCAAATATTTTGATTATAATATGACTCCATATTTTTTCACAAATTACATTCCTTTGTCAATATATTTAATGCATTGTATCATTACTGGATAATAAAATCTCTGCTGTTCTTTTAGAAAATTTGGTGATTCACTGAATGGTAGAGATATTAGTCAATTAGTCATTTTTTTTAGATCTTCAGAGAAAAGAGGCATTTTTTTAAACTGTAAGTGACAGATACATCCTAGTAGTTTGTAATAACAGTTCAGTAATAATATAAAACAGTACTAGTTCCCGATTTTACCCTTTCCTTTAGAGGACTGCCTACATTTTGGCACATTTACTTGCCTGTAAGGTATATATGTGTCCCAGTGTTAACAATTAAGAAATTATTCTGTTTACATCAAGTTCCTGTTTTCTAGCATCAAGATCCAAATTTACATGATATTAATAGATATTTATGTGGACTCAGTAGCTGTATTTTCCTGAAGTTCCTGTGTCCCTAACCCTTGAGGTGGTCTCTGCTTGTAGGGGTCTTTGGGAGGTTACAGCGTTCCCTCTGAGAGAATAGATTTCTTTGTTTCTCTCTCTCTCTCTCTCTCTCTCTCTCTCTCTCTCTCACCCTCCCTCCTTCCCTCCCTCTCTCCTTCCCTCCCTCCCTTCATCCCTCACTCCTTCTCGCCAGCCTCCCTCCCTCCCCTTTTCTTTTTTCCCTCTCCTTTCCTTTTTCCCCTTCCCTCTCTTATGTGAGAAAAAAAGGACTCGTCCTCACATCCCAAAGGGGGCCTTCAACAGATTCCAAAGGCATCCTGTTACTGAACTACCCAGACATCCAAATGGTAAGAAATAAGTTTCTATTGTTTAAGCAACCCAATGTTTGATGTTTCTTAAAGGAACCCAAACTAAGATATGTTAGAGAGATGTCTGCTCAGTTGTAGGTGTGTTTAACACTTAAGGTGGGTAGATCTGGAAATTGAAAAGGATGTCTATAAAATACGATATTCTAGAAAACTGCACAGTGTCTTTTGTACGCTTTCCTACCTTTCTGCTCTTTGCTGGAAACTCAGAACTGAAAAGAAATAATTGTAACCTAGGTTATCAAGTACAGTTTCTCAGAACACACTTAATATTATATCAGTGCAACTTATAAAAAATCCACAGCTTTGGTGAAGCAAAGTATATTTGAAAATATAAGGTGCAAGAAACATGGATTACTGTGTGTTTAGAGAGGCTAAGGAATATATACAATTATTCCATGTCATGAATTTTGTTAAACAGTAGGTATTTTTCCACCAGGATACTTCCTGTATTGTATTTCCTGCAGCTGAATCAACAAGCCTATCTTCTCATGCATATTAGAATTCTGTTTCACATTTTCTTCTTCTTAAGTGGAAAAACTCTGAGGACTTCTCTTCTTTCTGAGTAGAGATGACTATAGGTAAAATACATGCCTAATGTAGAGAAAGAAAGGGCAAAATTAAGTAAAGTTGATTGACCATTTTTTTTTCTGGAAAACAACTGATAAGAGACAGAGGGAGGAATGCTCAAAAAGTACCCATGTTTTATGAAACAGGAAATAAAGCAAACTCTGTTAATACCTTTTTTATAATGCAAAGATCCCCTCCCCCCTTTTGGGTAGTTCTCTCTCTTCTAAAGTTTCACATTTGTCATATCTCTATATATGGATTTTGTGAGACATGTTACATAGTATAGATAATCATTGTTTTGTTGGCTTGTGAAGATTAGATAAAATGGCCATCTTTCCATTTGATTATTGTTTATACCCCTTGCTATATTGTTGCTGAACTGGGATGCTTTGATTTGTAGATCTCTTTATTTAATGACTAATGTTAACTGATATATTTTATCAAAACAGAACAAAGGAAAGATGGAAGGAAAGAAGAGAAGGACAGAAAGAGAAAAGAGGTAGAGACAAATGGAAAAGATGGAATATTATATTTTTAGAATTTTATCTATGAAAGATTTTGAATCTCTTCTCTTTGTATTAATATGCCATTATCATGGAAGAAAAAGTATAAGAAAAACAATAAATATTTTCAAATCTAAAATGAACAATTAGGGCTAAGGAAGCTAGAAGTTAAAAATGAGAATCTCTTTCTCAATATTTTAGAAAATAATTGGGCTAACTGATTTTTTTTCAAATAAAGTTTTGTTCCATAGGTTTTTCGTGAGTCTTTAGCATTTACTCCCATTCACTAGAAAGTATTAGCAAAGAAAAAAAAAAACAGGAAACAAAATAAATGTAAATGGAAAAATCAGAAACAGTGCTATTTACTTTGGACATCTGGTTTTGTTAGTAGATACCTGTGTCCATGGTTAAATGTTTAGGTTTGGTAATAAAGCAGTTTTATTTTCTGCTGATAAAAGTGTTCTTGTTCTTACAGTGATATATCTGATCTCTTGATGTCCTACAAAATGCGTGCAACTTCCAGAAACTTTACTAACAAGAATAACTTCATTGTGTCAGGCTTCCTCCTTGATTTGTGTTATCAAATAGCCTATTAAGGGAGACACAGCACAAATCACAAAGCCCAAGAATGAAAAAATAAATCAAATAAGCTACTTACCTATAAAAAGCATCATGAGATATATTTTTAGCACATATGGGAAGTAGATGGATAAATCAAAGGGCAGCTTGGTGGAATAAGTACCAAATGATTCAAAGTAAGGCAGTGACTGATATATAGCAAATGCTGTACAAACAAAACAAAAAGAAACAAAAACAGCATTACAAAGGTTCCCTTCCTTAATTTGTTACAGGGTTAAGGACTTCATCTCTACACTTGAAAGATACTTTGAACTTGTACAGATTTTGGTAATGGCTGGATGCTGAATTATTTTGCTAACACTACAGTATGATATAGATTAGAATTAAGTTGGGGAGGCTGTTACAGCTGTTTAACCTGTTGAATTCTTGTCCATGATAAACTTTTTCATGCCTACATAAAAAAGTTTACAGTGTTTCTTGAAATGGAAACTCAACATATATCTGTTCCCTTAGCCACAAATCGGGATGAAATATAAACTTGAGAAATACTGCATGTGTTTGCTTGTCAGAGTTTCGCAATACACATTAGCATGGTGGAGATGCTGAGTTCAGCAGTAATGAAATGGATTTCACCCAACATTTTGTCAACTTAACCAGCCCTGAAATATCTTCTTCCTCCTCAGTGCCCAGTAATAATTACAGACCCTGAGGAATTCTGTGAGAAATGGTGGCCTGATTATTATGAGGGAAGAAACTGATGTCAGATAAGAGAGGTGAGGGTTTTATGAAATTGTAGCCTATGTATAGATTTTTTATAACATTTCATGGAATGAAATGATAGGGTTATATAAGATGTTATCTAAAGGCAAGTTAGGTGAATTATAATTTCTATAATTTCATGTAAATCTAAAATTAAATAGTTAAAGTTTTCAAAAAGAGAGAAATGAAAGAAAAGTCATTAGCTCACAGGATTTGTTTAGAGCCAGACAGTGTGAAGATTTGAACATTATCAATACAAGACCTGAAGTTGACACCAAACATGCCATTTACATTGCACCTAAGTATGTAGCATTTTCTTTGTCAATATAATTAATCATTTTATTTATGTCTACTTAGTTGTTCTACCTTTAGCTGGGGAACATAGTTATTAAGGCACATAAGATTATTCATCAAAAGTTAAACATGTTTCTTCATAGTATATTTCAGACTTTTGACTTTGAAATACATCATTCAGAATTAATCATTATCAACTTTTTGTCATATATGCTTCTACTTTTTTTTCTGCACTTTATACAATCACAAGAAAATTTCATGTGTGTAATAAAAGTTGTATGGCAACTATGTAAGGACATGGTTTTCCCAGAAAGGAGGTTTAAAATGATTGAATAACAAAATTGGAAAAGCTTTCAAACATTTATTCTCGCTTTATTTATAGGAAGAGATTGTTCATACTTCTACTTCACCCCTTTTTGCATTCTTTTAAGATTCAGTTTAATAAAATTTTAACTAAAACTCATGATTATATATGATGCGATATAATATGTGATGGGATATAATATATGATATTCTGACATATGTTTTCAAGTTAATATATCCTTTGTCTTACTTATTATTTTATAGTACGATATTTAAAATTTACTGTTAGCCATTTTGGTTTATACATTATTAACCATAGTAATCTTGCTCTAAAATATACCTCAAAAATATATTGCACCTTGCAGTCTTTCCTCAATACCAGCTGCTTATTTATTTGTTATAGTATTTTCATATTAGATAACAAATAACTACATTTAATAAATATTTAAATATATAATGGATCTCAAAGAATGGGCAATCTTTTTGTGCATATATGCACAGTTTTTAATGCTGTTCTCTATTTTCTCTCAGTAGTCTATTCCAGACTTTAAAAATTGCTCATTTTGAAAAAAAAAATTAAAAAATCTAATATGATTTTCTGAAAAAATCCTTGTCTTTCGCCATCCGTAGACAGAAAACATGTTTTGTTTTACTTGCCTTTAAATACTTTATGATTATTGCTAACGTCACCATTTCATGTTTAATCTGTTTCCTTATGTTTTCCTTTCATGACTAGCATTTTTTGAAGCATTATTTTATGTCTTAGTTCTCAGAAGTTTTAAGCTTTCAGAACTCTCTACCAATTTGTCAAATCCATTACAAAAGAAAGAATATAGTCCCTAAATACTCTCAAGCTCTTTAATAATTTTTTATTTAAAATTTTACACTTACATTTATTCTAGGTGATTGTGCAGGTCTGTGCGCAAGAGAGGAAGCAAGTAAAAACAGACCCTCCAGTACTCTCACAGTATTTAGTGTCTAATTAGAGGAACGAACCTTAATCGAAGAATCATACAAATGTCCTATTACAACTGAGATTGGACCTCTAAAAAGATATTCATGATGCTGTGGGAAGGGTAATTAACTGAAGTCAGGAACAGCTTCCTTTGGAAAGTGATGATTAACCTCAAGATCCAATGAATTAGCTGCTGGCAGAGGGCAGGATGAATAGCGACGAACAGTGGGAAGGATAGCAGGCTACCAGAGGGAACTGCTTCTATGCATTAACAGTAAAACCTGATAGGATCTTTTAAACATTAAACTTTTTGTTGGAAGTTTCAAAACTCATCCGGGGAGTCAGTGAGGTTAAGGGTTTGAACTCAGCTGTCCTCATTTCTCATATAATAGTTTTTTCTGAAGAACAGTTTTCCAATCTAGCTATGCTTCTTAATGCCTTTCATCTTTGCATCAAGTGAAATGTGTCAGGAAAGATAAACTGTGCAAGCTCAGCCCCGGTAAAAATGGTAATCAAATTATCAACAAATTAATCCCCAAATGTAATCATCAAAATTAGATAGCTTTTGTCAGTTAAGCCATACAGCTTGTCTTACCTTCAGCAAGAACACACAGGGGATAAATTGGCATCCATAGTGTTTGGCTGAGCCATGTCAAGACAGTATATGACATTCCTATGACAGATAACATGCTGTAAGTATACCTAAAAGGAGACAGGAAATTCATCAGTTTCTTTCTACAGATGTCTGAAAAATAACAGAAAAAAATATGCCTTACAGAATATATAGACACAAAGGTAAAACTGGAAGATGTACTGGTCACATACTTTATCTCATAAAATGTAGGCAACAAAGAGCTTAAAAAAAAGAGAAGCGCCATTTTAGCAGCTTCCATGATGAAGGGGATCATGAATAACTGTGGAACAGAGCAGAGGAAGCATGTTACTCTTAGCCCTCAAGAAATTACAGGAGTCCTTGTAGTAACTTTAATTTCATTCAAAAGCCCATTTTATGCAGCCAACAGATTTTTTAAAGATTTACTTATTTTTATTGGAAGTCAGATATACAGAGAGAAGAGACAGAGAGGAAGATCTTTCTTCCATTGATTCATTCTCCAAGTGGCCCCAACAGCCAGACCTACACCAATTCGAAGCCAAGAGCCAGGTCCCAAGGCTTCGGGCCATCCCCGACTGCTTTCCCAGGCCACAAGCAGGGAGCTGGATGGGTAGTGGAGCTGTCAGGATTAGAACTGGCGCCCATATGGGATCCTGGTGCATTCAAGGTGAGGACTTTAGCCACTAGGCTACTGTGCCAGGCATGCCAACAGGTATTTTAAGACAGGCTTATTTGTACATATCTCAGGAATGAATTTTAAAAACTAAAATGTGACTTCCAAATCCTTATTAATCATTCTCCTGTATCTGTGGTTGTGTCATTTTCTGAGTCCAACTAAAAAAATAGCTTTGAAGGCTGGCTTAGGAACAGTAGTCAGCTTCAAATAGCTTTCTGTTTCTTTGAATGGTGGTTCTTTGTTTTCATGTCATATCTAAGAATTCATTGCACAATCTAAGTCATAAAGATTTAGCCCCATATTGCCTTCTAAGGGCTTTATACCTTTGTATGTTTAGTTCTTCCAAGTAAGCTAAGGGGCAACTTAATTCTTTTCCATGTGGCTATCCAGTTGTGCCAGCAGCATTTATTGAAAACAAACAAAAATTATCTTTTTCCATCGAGTGAGAATTACACTCTTGATAAATTAATTGGTGAAAAATGTAAGAGTTTATCTCCAGAATATCAGTTCTGTTCCATGATTGATCCTTATGCCAGTCCTATACTCATGACTGTTGTTGTTTTATAGTAAGTTTTCAAATTGGGAAAGGAAGTTGAGTCCTATTTCAACTATGTTCCTCTTCAAAATTGTTTTAGTTCTTCTGAGTTCCTTGACTTTCTATTAGAGCTTTGGGATAAATGTCCCATTATTTATTTTAAAAATCTATCTGGAATTGTAAATGGGGATTTCACTGACTACAGACCAATTTGAGAATATTGGAATCTTAATAGAATGGGAGCTCGTGTAGTGGCATAGCAAAAAAGCCATCACCTAAAATGCTGACATCCTAGGTAAGTGCCAGTTCAAGTCCTGGCTGTTCCACTTCCAACCTAGCTCCATGTTAATGACCGGGGAAATGTAGCATAAGAGGGCTTCAATACTTGGGACCCTGTCACCTATGTTGGAGACCCAGATGAAGTTCCTCTCTCCTGGCTTATTATTGTGGCCATATGGGAAGTGAAAAATCTCTATTTCTCCCCTTCTGCAACTCTGATTTTCAAAATAAATGAACAAAAATTTTAAAAAGTGAATATTATGTCTTCAGTCTACATAGGATATAGCTTATGATTTATTTAGATCTTAATGTTTTAAACACTGTAATGCAGTGTTCAGCATACAAATTCTGTTGATTTGTTGATTTTATTCCTAACTACTTTCTTTTGATTTTTATGTTATAAACTGGATTTTATTTATTTCATTTTTAGCAAAGGTCAGGGAGTGGAAATAAAACTAGTATGCTGATGTATTGTACAACTGCATTAAACTTATTCTAGTATTTGTAGTTGATTCCTTATTATTTTAATGATCTTATTTTCATAAAATCATGTCACCTGCCAGTGTACATAGTTTTACTTTTTTATTTTTAATTTATCATGATGCAATACTTCTTTTCAATCTGATGCCTCATATTTCTTTTTATTTCCTTGGCTAGAATTTTCAGTATTAGGTTGAATATAACTATTCTGAGTAAGAGTGGATATCATTGTCTTGTTTTGATCTTAGAGAGAAATCACAATTTTTCTTTTTTAGCCATCATGTTAGCTATGGGTTTTTCATTTTTTCATTCATGATTCTTGTTAAGTCTTTATATGGTAGGTTGGGAAAATGACTACCTTAACAGAAGAAAAGGATAGGTATCCTGGAATTTCAGTCCTGAGTATAACAGAAACAAAAACATGCATATGTAAGAACTTGTACATGGGCTTTCATAATAATATTCCCCGTGGTCAAACAATGGAAAGGACTCAAATGTCCATACAGAATAAATGGAGGTGTTGGAAATGTTATATCAACACAATAGCATATTATTTGGCCACAAAATGCAATGCATTGTTGATTTATGCTACTCTGTGTAAACCTTAAAAACATTATGTTGAGTAATAGAAGCAGTCACAAATAGGCCACATACTGGATGATACTGATAATTTTGAGTGGTTGCCAGGGTGGAGGAAAAAGAGAGGAGACTGGTTTCTTTTGATGAGTGATGAAATGTTCATAAATTCGGGAAAGCAATTGCATGTCTCTTTGACTATACCTACAGCCGTGAGTTTTATATTTTAAGGGTAAATTTTATGGCACAAAAGTAATAACTCAATAAATCTGATTTTTAAAACGTTAAATTGATTTGCCCAAGATCAACTGGCAAGTAAATAGCGGAGATGGGTTTCCTCCTGTGAGCTTCTGCCATTGCATCCAAAAGTCTGCCCATAAAATCACACTCCCACTTTCAGTACAGAAGTCATTTTGTTTTCTAATGGACCTATTGAGCACATCTATTACTGGATCAATACTAGTAGTGAAGAATACCCAGCAACAATATACACACACCTACACTCCTACATATCTGAGGCTCCACAGTCTCATAAATGCAAAGTCCCAGGGGCTACAGATGTCTACAACATGTGCCATAAGTGTATACAACCATTTAAAACATTAAAAAATGACTCTTGAATACTAAGGAATATAGAATCATTTTAATTCAGCAAAATATTTTATTGTATTTCATCTTGGGACTCATTATTTAGATTATTTTAACCCAAGTTACTGACAATATAATTCATATGGCATGGATATAATCTCAACTCAGACAGAAAAATAAGACTATATGACCTATTCACATCCATGTCATTTCAAGTAGAAGGGACAGTTCTCATTTGTGAAAGATTAATTAGAGCAATGGTTGCTGGGGCCTCTGCTTAAGGACTTAAGAACTGTACAGAAAACTAGACGTAGAACTGCATTTTTCCTCAGCAAGTGAAGTCCTACATTTGTCATGTTATTGAATGCACAGAAATCAATTTTGTAAATTCTGAAAGATCTAAGAAAAGTTTGGATTTGCTTATTGAAGTCACATATGCTAGAGCACTTGTAAGGAAGGAGCAAACAGCTGTGAGGTTTATTACAGCTGGATGATTAACTCGCCCTTCTGGTGGAAACCTCAATGTACTGATTTGCTCTTGTAGCACCACCATAGGTTTTCATTACTGTTGATATGCCCACTATGAAAAGCACTAAAACTATATTTTCATATCAAGATAAAATCATTTGAAAAGGGGTTATGTTTTGCTCTCATACAGAGTAAGAAAATATAAGCAACTATTACTGGCTCCCCTTTGGAGAGCAATGTTTTAAAAGATTATTTTGCCTTCTTACCTAACCATATCCAAAAGGTTCCAAAAGATAAATAAAACACACACCACATACTTCTCTTGGACTTCTTCTTGACTGGTGATCACCACAAAAAGAATGATGATTCTCTCTGTGAGCTGAGAAAGAACAGAAAAGTCAAGAATTAGGATCATCTGTTAGGCTTTGTGGGTTATTTTCTAATTTTGAAAACCAGAGCTCTTTGTCAAAGAAATACGGCCTGGCTGGCAGAATGTATGCGAAACTGTTAAGGATGACTGTTTCTGAGGGATTAGGCTTGTGGGAGAATTTCATTTCCTCCTCTATTTTTTTCTATTTTCCAAATTATATATAATGAGTGAGAAGATAGCACATGTTTTATCTGATTCAGGATATTTCCCTTTATCCTGCCACATGCACACATGTTTCTATTCTCTTGGGCAAACCTTTATTGAGTATTCACTACATATTTGATGCTGTAATGAAAATATGGTTCTTGTTCCAGAGGGAGTAACAGTGAAGGAAAAATGTGAAACAATTAACTTTTGCACCATGTGTGCTATCCATAGAGGCAAAGGTTTGAGAGGGAAATACTTTCTGCCCAGAGAAATAAGACAGGGAGATTCCTCAAGGCATTCGACATTTCTCTTGGATCTTGAAAATCAGGTAGACTGGATATGAGAAGAGACATTGTGGTAACGGCAGCAGAATGCCAGAATTAGATGCTTGAGAATGCGGAGGACTTGGTAGGTGATAACAACCAAATGCAGGAATAGAGAACAGGGCACAGTAAAGGGAAAAAATAGGAAATGAACCTGAATATGGACTTCAGGCTGGGTTACTTTGCCTGGATTTTGAACGGCAGGCAAAGACATTTCAATTTCATCTAATATAGATGTCATGGGAGCTTTTTTGGATGAGTAGAGGGCAGAGGGAGAAAGTAATCCTAAAGTTTATGCATTGGTAGAGAATGGAAAGAATTCAGTTCATTCTTGTAACATGCACACATGCGTAAACACATACACACACACATGCAAGGGTATTTCAAGCAGTTTGTTGACAAATGAAATTAAAAGATGGGTTTATTTTGGCACAAAAAATTTGAAACCCATGCAAAATTTGTTATATCTTTTCAGTGAAATTGTTGTTGTCCCTTCATATATTGTAAGTCAGGAAATATTTACAAATCATTTAGAACTCACATATTTTTTATTTAGCTCCAATTACTAGCTTCAAAAAAAAAAGACATTACTCTTTTCCAACCTAAGTATTGTGTTTGCTTTTGCTGTAGTAAAACATGCTGCACATTCTGTATTTTTAGGTATGTTTAACAGAACATGTTACTTTGTTCTCAGGAAAAAAAAATACAACTGGTATTACGTAAGCATACTAGTAGGAAATAGAGCTATTTTAAAAATAGTTCTCTTTACTTTTTTTTTTAGCTTCTAAAACATTGATTTTATCATGATACACAAGAGAAGAAGAAAATTACTATTCCTCATAAATTACAGAAAAATCAAACCTCAAACTCTTGCCTCCATGTACTTAACTCTAAAGAATATTTTTCTCATTGGAGTTCTCTCTACTTTTAAAGTGGATCAAGGAAAAAGACTGGGATGACCTACAAATTAGAGTCAACAGTCATTGTTTCTAGAAAATCGTCTTGGGTAGAGAAATCCAAGATTTGTCAAGAGTGGGTCCCGTGAGCAGAAACCTACATCTGAATACTATTCAGCATATTTGTGATTACACTAGTGAGTCACAACGGTCTTTGTGTGGCTAAGGGAAATTAGATATGATTCAAACCTTACTCAATCTATGAAATTTACCTAAACAGCTGTTTTTTTCTGTAGTCAGTCTATGATATAACCTGTTTCAAACCTTACTCAATCTATTGAAATTTACCTAAACAGCTATTTTTTTCTATAGTCAGTCTTTATGATATAACCTGTTTCCTTAATTATTTTTACATAATGAATTACAGGTCTTTAAAACATTTGTTCATTTTTATTTTAAAGGTGGAGATAGAAAAAGAGCAAAGAATGCACCTCCATTTACTGGTTTACTTTCCAAACTGCCGTTGCTCTTAGGGATGGGGCCAGGCCAAGACTTAGAACCAGACTCAATCTGGGTCTCTCGTATAGGTTGAGGGACTCAGGTATGTGAGCTATCATCTGCTGCATCCCAAGTTCAGTAGCAGCAATCCAGGAAGGAATAGAAGTGGGATTAAAACCAGGCACTAAGATATGGGTGCAGACATCCTACGCACTGGCTTAATCTGCAGTGCTCCTTGTGTACCCCATACATGATGCATTATATTGAACTGTAGTATAAGCACCAAGTGACCCAACCTTGCTGGCATGACACTGGTGGCCTGGTAGCGTCTGGATACAAGATCTTACCAGCAAACAAGTGTTTAGGCATCTCATATCTGATCAGTGCCTGGTAATTCGAGAAACCTTCTAGTATTTACTTAGAAAGAAAAAAAATTAACAGATTTGTGCTCATGAAGCATGCAGGCAAAATAGCTTTCTGATTACATTACTAGCTAAAAGTAAGATGCTTCCTGATAAACTGATCCACAGGATCCCCTCCAGATAGGACTTTCTGAAGAATTTGAAAACTAGAAAAGTTAACTGACTTGCCCAAGCCAGTGGCAGACCTGAATACCTATCCCAAGTCTCCTGGCTTCCAGAGTTGTAAGTAATCCAAGTCAGGATGCCCCTAACTGATGACAGCTTAGGAGGAAAATCTAAAAGAGAAAGAGGAGCTGCCTGATGAAATTCATTCTACTGAAAATCATCACTTGTTAGTGGCAAAATCCCACTTGCACTGAAATCAGTGACCAACATGTTAGGAAACTAAACCACCACATACATGCAGACAACACCTGATAGCTTGACACAAAGTAATATAAAAGTAATACGTGTTCAATAGAAAGCATCCTTTGAATTTTGCTTTTTCTCCTCTCAGGTACACTGGCTGCATGTCACACGGTGCCTTCCTGAAATGCCGGGCAACGCCAAGTTAGCCTCGTGTACTCATGAGGACTGACAATCAATATTCTCCCGTGTATTGTATCATTAACCTACCATGTTTGATAGGTTAGGTGTATTCAATGTCTGTTATTTAAGATATTTTCTTGGAATGAATATTACCCCAATTTCTATATTTTCAAGAAAATTATTGTAATGATGTTTATTCTTTTTCTAAAAAAATATTTATTTTTATTTGAAAGAGATTTTACAGAGACAGAAATATTTCCCATCTACTGGTTCACTCCCAAAATGCCCACCAGAGCTGAGCTGATTCAAATCTGGGAGCCAGGATCTTCTGGGTCTCCCACATGGGCACAGGGTCCCAAGGCTTTGGGTCATCCTCCACTGGTGTCCCAGGCCACAGGTAGGGAGTTGGATGGGAAGTGGAGTAGCTGAGACACAAATTGGCACCTTGTGTGATGCTGGCACTTGCAGGCAGAGGATTAGCCAGATATGCCACTGTGTGGGCCCCTACTTAAGATATTTTCCATTGCAGTGGGCTTGTTGGGAGGTAACACTACTGTAAACTAAAGTGAGTACATCTGCACACCCATGTACAAATGTGAAAACAGCTTCACATACAATGCCAATTGAGTTAATTAGTATTATCTGAGGCTTACTTAATTCTAACTTGACTACTGGCAGTGGAGGAATCTAGGTGGAGATACTCATAAGTTGATGAAAACCAATATTTGTTTCTTTGGTTACTTTATGGTTACACACATACCATTTCATTTTGTTTCCTTGATTTGAATCACTCAGACCTTCTCATCTTTGTTACTATCAATAGGGTCCTCAAGTACCTAACGTCCAGATTCTATGCTAGTCTTTAAAACAGCTCCTCAGAAATTAAACACTGAGGATCAGGGCTGTGATGTAGTGGATTGGGGAACCACCTGTAATGCCAGCATCCCATGTGGACTCAAATTCCACTCTGGCTTCTCTGCTTTAGACTCATCTCCCTGCTGCTGCACCTAAGAAAACAGCCAGGGATGGCCTAAGTGCTTGGTCCTCTATACCCACAAAGGAAGAAGCTTTGAGCCCCTGGCTCTGGCCTGGCACCACCCTGGCTGTTGTGGCCACTTGGGGAGTGAACCAGAGGATGGGCAATCTATTTGTCTCCCTTTCTCTTGGTAGCTCTGCCTTTTAAATAAACACATAAAAATATTAAAGTTTAAAACAAGAGCTTCTTTAAATTTATACAATTCCAAAGTAATTGTGAAGAAAAAAATTTCAAGACAGTTTTCTTTTAAAAAATATATATAATATATATATATATATATATATATATATATTTAATCTGAATGTCAGAATTACAGAGAGAGAGATTTCATCTGCTGATTCACTCCCCAAAAATGACCACAACAGCCAGAGATAGTCCAGTCTGGAGCTGAGAACCAGGAACTTCTACGGGGTCTCCCACAAGGGTGAGGGACCCAAAAACTTTTAGGCTATTTTCTACTGCCTTTCCAGGTCATTACTCAAAATAGAGCTACACATGGAGCAGCCAGGACTTGAACTGGTACCCATATGGGATGCTAACACCTTAGGCAAAAGATTAGTTTGATAAACCATTGTACTAGCCCTGATGATTATTTTCTTTAATATTAAAACTGACAGGTTATTTAGAGGTTTATATTTAGAAAATTTTGCACTTGGTCACTTTTATCATATCCTGTGACAATGTTACTAATTATTACTTGTCTTCCAATGTTTAGTATAACTCAAAGAAACAGAATAAATAGTATGCTAATAATCCTATAGCTCAGGCCAAATTAAATATGGTAATAACATGGTCTACTCAAAACTACGGTAACTAAATATATAAAAGTCCTTTGCATTTTCTGTGTTCTACTTGGGAATCCTAAACTCCAGACTAAAGAATGGCTGAAAGCAAGGTATTATTTTGGAAATATAGGTAGTACCTTTTGAAAAGGGGAAATAATACTTTAACTAGGAAGAATTGCTAGAATTGTTTAAATTATTTATGTGTTTATTTGGAAGAGTTATGAAGGGCAGTGGTGCAGACAAAGAACGAGACAGAGTTTTTGTCAGCTGGTATGTTCCCCAGATGGCTGACATGGCTGGGGTAGGGCCAGGAT